CCCTGCTCTTTTTTTTTTTTTTTTTTTTTTTTTTGAGATCGGGCCTCTCTGTGTTGCTCAGGTTGGAGTACAGTGCTGTCATCTTGGCTCACTGCAACCTCTGATTCTTGGGCTCAAGTGATACTCCTACCTCAGCCTCCCAAGTAGCTAGGAGCACAGGCACAAACCCCAACACCCAGCTAATTTTTGTATTTTTTTTGTACAAACATGGTTTCACCATGTTTCCCAGGCTGGTCTCAAACTCCTGAGCTCACGCAGTTCACCCACCTCAGCCCTCCCAAAGCACTGGGATTGCAGGTGTGAGCCACCACACCTGGCCCTTTGCTCATTTCTATATTGGGTTGCTTGTCAGTTGTTGTTCAACTGTAGGTAATTGTTTATGGATTCTGGGCATTAAACCCTTACTAAATATGTATCAAATACAAATATTTCTCCCATTCTGTAGGTTGTCATTTCGCATTCTTAATTTTGTCCTTTGATGAACAAACATTTTAAATTTGGTGAAACCCAGTTTATCTCTCTTATTTTAGTTGCTTTGGTGTCAAATCTCTGCATCTACTTCCAATTCTGAAGGCATTAAGATTTAACCTGATGTTTTATTCTAAGAATTTTATAGTTTTAGTTCACATTTGAGTTTTTCGTTCACTTTCAGTTATATTTTGCATAAGAGTGAGATAGGGGTTCAACTTCATTCTTTTGTATGTGGTTACCCAGTTGTCCCAGAACTGATTGTTGAAGAAGCTCTTCCTTTATTTATTTATTTTTTTGAAACTCTTCCTTTAGATTGAATGATCTTGGCACATTTGTTGAAAATGAACTGGGCATAGATGATTAGGTTTACGTTTGGATTTCAATTTATTCCATTGGTCTTTATTTCTTTCCTTTTGCCAGTACCATGCTGTTTTGACTACTATAGTTTTGTTTTGAAGTTTGGAAATTTGGGAATTGAGTCCTCTCCCTGTAGTTGCATATAAATTCAGAATTGGCTTTTCCTTTTTTGCACAAATAAAAAATTTTAAAAAGGACATTGGAATTGTGACAGTGATTACATTCAATCTTTAGATTACTTTTGGAAGCATTGCCATCTTAACAATTTTAAGTCTTTCAATCCTTTAACATGACATGGTTTGCCATTTATTTAGGTCCTCCTTATTTTTCTAAGCAACATTTGATAGTTTTCCATCTTCTATCTTCTTGACTATAGATTCTCAGGGCCTTTGGCCCTTTTGATGCTATTACGAATGTAATTATTTCCTTGATTTTATTTTCATATTGTTCATTGCTGATATAAACAGACACAACTGATATCTGGACCAATCTTACACTCTAAAATTAAGCTGAAAACATTTGTCAGCTCTCGTTGTGCTTTGTCGGTTGTATGAACTTTTCTTTATATAGAATTGTGTTATTTTAAAATAGAAAGAGTTTTACATCTTCCTTTGTTACCTAAATGCCTTTTATTTCTCTTTCCTGTCTAATTGTTTTGGCTAGGACATTAAGTGCTATGCTGAATAGCAGTAGCAAAATTGGATATACTTGGATCTTTTCCCCCTGATTTTGGGGATTAAGTTTTTAGATTTTCACAATTGGACCTAAAATACCACAATTTTTATAAATAACATTTTATTATAAGGAATTTCTCTTCTATTCATATTTTTGAGTGATTTTATCAGGAAGAGAATTGAATTTTGTCTTATGCTTTCTCAGCTTCTATTGAGGTGGTCATTTTGTTAGATTTTTCCTTTCTTTCTAATAAGGTATTGTATTACATTGATTGATTTTCTTACTGAAGCACTCTTGCACTCGTCATATAGATCCCATTTAGTTATGACATATAATCCTTAATTTTTTTTATTATACTTTAAGTTCTAGGGTACATGTGCAAAATGTGCAGGTTTGTTGCATATGTATACATGTGCCATGTTGGTGTGCTGCACCCATTTACTTGTCATTTACACTAGGTATATTTCCTAATGCTATCCCTTCCTCCTTCCCCTCCCCCCTCCCCACAATAGGCCCTGGTGTGTGATGTTCCCCTTCCTGTGTCCTGTCTCTTATACACATCTAGATGTGTATAAGAGACAGGCCCTGAGCTGCTACTCTCTGCCTATACCATAGCCCTGCTCTGCAGTAGCCCTCACAGAGCTGTACCACTGCCTGTTCAACAAAGCTGTTTTCTTCTACCTCTGAGCTACCTTTGAATTCTTTTCTGGGCAAAGCCAAGAACCCTCCCAGATTAAGCTCCACATTGGGACTCGCCTGCCCTACATCACACCTACCGTCTCTCTCTACTTTCAAAACTTTTTTATCACTCCACAGAAACATATTCTATCATTAAATAGTTACACCTCATTCCCCACCCCATCATGTAGTAAACATTAATCAACTATCTTTATGGATTTTCCTATAATGAATATAGCATTTGAAAGGACCCATGGCATATGTGACCTTTTACCTGGCTTCTTTCACTTAGCATAATGATATGGAGGGTCAACTAAGTTTTAGCATGTGATAGTACTTTGTTGTTTTTTGTGGTTGAATAATACTCCATTTTCATGTACTCATACAACAATTTGCTTGTCATTTATCTGTTGATGATCATTTGTGTTATATAAATGATCTTTTGGCTTTTATAAATAATGTTGCTGTTAACATTTGTACACAAGTTTCTTCATGAACACATTTTCAGTTTTCCAGGGTATAGTCCTAGGAGTGTTATTTCTGGGTCATATGGTGATTTTATGTTTAACTTTTTGAGAAACAACTAAACATTTCTACAGTAAATG